TCCGCTCTCCGGGTGGACGCTCTACCACTAGACCACGGAGGCGGTCATCAAGCATAGGCAAGTATTTGTCGTCAGTGCAGACAGCTCTGTCAGTGGGACTGGAAATGTGGGCCTGCTAGGAATACATTTGGGTGTGTATGCACAGTTTGTTAAACTGTCAAATGTTTTGTGATGCAGTGTAACGTTTGAGCATTGGAAAAAACTACGCCATTTGCCAGCACACGCGAACCGTTAGGTTACATGACTGGCTTCAGGTCTCCTCTCGGGGCGATGGGTAGCCAAGTGGTTAAATCGTTCGCTTGTCACACCGAAGAACCGGGTTCGATTCCCCACATGGGTACAATGCGTGAAGCCCATTTCTTGTGTCCCCGCCGTGTTGCTGCTGGAATATTGCTAACAGCGACGTAAAACCATACTCACTCACTCACTCACTCACTACTCAGGTCTCCTCTCATTTTTTTTCTCCAGACAGAGGCTGCAAGTAGCACAGCACAGCCGTATCTAATCACCTTTTTGAAAATTTCAGGCCCAGTTTTCTTTGAAAAGTGGATATCATTTTACCATTTTAAAACATAAATATAGGCAGAAAACCCTTTCCATAATCATACGGAATATCGTTTGTGTTTCAGAGGTGTAAAGGTGTCCAGGTGGTTAACTGTTTGTCATCGATTCCCCACATTGGTACAAATCGTGAAGCCCATTTCTGGTGTCTCTCTCCGTGGCATTGGTGGAACATTGCTAAAAGCGGCGTAAAATCAATCTCACTCACTCACTCATACGTTATTTTATTCCACGTCATTTCACATCACGCCTATAGTACGAGACTTAAATGAGCACCGGGTGTCTGGACTCATTGACCTGGTTAACTGTGTGTCATCCTGCCCTGATGGCGTTGATCGTTGCCATTGCTTTAAGTCACCAGTCTGCCCTGAGCCGACTCGAGTACAGACAGATCGTCGTGACTGTAATGTTGCCGGGTGCCATGTTAAAACATACACTCAGTCAGTCACTCTAATGTTACTGGTGTGTTTTTATCATTGAAAAATATATTCCAACAATAATTGTAATGCTGTATAGGACTTTCATACACATTCACTCAAGAACAGCTGAGATGTTTTATGAAAGTGCACGTCGCTTCGGCCTCTTAGTGTTCAGTCTATGTGTCTAGGACGTCATGTGTTAGTCCTTTTCGTGAACACCTTATCATGGGTTTTCAGTGGTCCATTCATATAATATTCACCGCTACTTTGGCATTTTTGTCCAATGGTGACTGTTTCGTCGTATGGTCGAGACTGGTTAATCTCTGACGTTGACGTGATATAAAACAATGTTACTGAATGTTTGAAATCAAACGTGCGCTATTGGAATACGATGACATGCCATCAACCAAGTCACCGAGCCTGTCACATTCAGTCGCCTCGTTAGACACTCACAGGTTAGGGAGATATATACTTACTTGAAATCCGCACGTTTTTTACTTAGGTTATCAGTATATGTACAACAAAGTCTCATGTTTTAAATCTCTCTTGTTTTTTTGGGTCAAATATGACTAGGCTTTGTGTTTAGGTTGGCATATTTGTAGAACCATGTGGTGTTTATCCAGATATATTGCAAACTTACCTGCGTCCATGGAACTGACGCACTAACAACCGTGCTTGAAAATCACACTTAGTATATGAGACTTGCTTCATACTGTTTGACCCATTGGCAAGAAGTTCGCGTTAATTTCAATTACAGAGAATACAACAAACACTTTAAACATTGACAATATGTAGATGTTAGTTGGTCAGGATATTCCCAGGTTTATAGGGTTTAACGTCACTTGAGTGAGTGAGTGAGTGACTGTTGTTTTATGCCTCAGGCAGCATTATTCCTGGTATATCACCGTGGCCAGTACACATTCAAGCTGTGGCTGTGGCCTCCTCATGGTACTGTACACAATCAGCTGAGTCAGCCATGCTGAGCACTCGATCCCTGTGGTAGATGTCTGACAACGATCACAGGACACGGGTCAATATTTGTGTGTCAGGGAAACGTATGGGAGAAAGCATGTTCACTTCAAAAATCACACTGATACTTTTTAAATGAAAACAATTCCATCTTTAGATTTCTGTCTATTTTATTCTGTTTCATGAGTGCTGCATGAGTATTTCATGTCATTTCATCTCATTTCATGTCATTCATTTCATGTCATTTCATGTCATTTCATGTCATTTCACTTCATTTCATGATTGACTGCAAATAAAGCAAAAATACAATTACTCTAGATTGTAAATACAAATAAACTATACTCAAAAACATTCTTTGCAAAAGAACATTGATTTTAGGACACATTAGGAAATTTACGGTAATTACAAAATGTTATTTACCAGAAGCAATGTAATTAATTCAAATACATAATATCACAATTATACATCCAAAACTAAAGATATTAGTAAAAATGCTGTTGTATTTACCTAGTTGTTGACCACTTTTATCACATGTGGCTGCCTAGCCAGCTGCCATGTGGCTCTGTGCATGCCTTACATGCCTTGATTACATGCATCTGTAAATAGACTAGTGCACAGCGCACCCTATTGGGCTTAAGAAAATGAAAATAGTCTACCTTGAAACCAAACTGAAGCATCATAAAATGAAGACATCTTTTAAGTGTATGACCATTACAAAACAAGTTGATTTCCCTTCAATGTCTACCGGTACTGACTCGTGTCAGGATCCTTCAGAAATATGTCGACCTTGAGATAGTGATTTTGTGAGCGCGCACCAGGTTTGACGTTTATACCTCTTTAAACGCAAAAAAACCATATTCAAGCCACGTCTAGATAAATCAACAATTATAACTCATAATAATCATAGTTAATACACCAAAAAACTGTAGACAGCAATACAAATCAGTGACATCGTTTGACTCGTGAAGATCTGGTGAGAATTTGTCTTCATCAACCAATGCTTGCCGTAAGACGCTACTGTGCTTGTTGTACGAGGCGACTAAAGGAGTCAGGGTTTTACCCGCTGACTTGGTTGATGCATGTCATAATAACCCAATTCCGTAGATCGAAGCTTATGCAATATATTTACAACTTCTGCAATGTATTTACAACTTCTGCAATATATTTACAACTTCTGCAATATATTTACAACTTCTGCAATATATTTACAACTTCTGCAATGTATTTACAACTTCTGCAATTTTTTTACAACTTCTGCAATGTATTTACAACTTCTGCAATATATTTACAACTTCTGCACTATATTTACAACTTCTGCAATATATTTACAACTTCTGCAATGTATTTACAACTTCTGCAATGTATTTACAACTTCTGCAATATATTTACAACTTCTGCAATACATTTACAACTTCTGCAATACATTTACAACTTCTGCAATATATTTACAACTTCTGCAATATATTTACAACTTCTGCAATATATTTACAACTTCTGCAATACATTTACAACTTCTGCAATATATTTACAACTAAGACCGTGCAGGGAACTGTACATGTCCAAGTTTATTGACAAGCAGTTCGCACACACAGGAGCTTACAGCAAGGATCACACAACACTAGCTTATTATGATATACAGTTAACTACGGTTATAACGAACTCAAAGGGACCACTAATTTTAGTTCGTTATAACCGTAGTTCGTTATAAGCATATATACAGCATATCTACAGCAAATTTTAGGGACAAAAAAGTAAGTTCGTTATATCCGTCAGTTCGTTATAACCGTAGTTTACTGTATACAATTAACATGTATACCGAGGAAGAAAATGATTCATAAAACAGGGACCAGGAAATTGATTACCACAGCAGTTGTGAGTGACTTGGAGAAATCTTTATCACGACCTTCTTGCACTAAAGCATCAGTCACGAATCCAAACCACGAACAAAATGGCAAACTGCTGACGCCATTATGTTTGAAGCAGTGCAGGCAAACATCCAGGAAGAATAAGCTTAATTGTTTCTATCAAAATAAATACCAACATTTATCTCACACAATCAGGGCAAGGACTTTCAGAGCGACAAATACAAGGTGCATATAAATCCTCCGTTTTAAAGGAAATAATATAGTTATTTTTACAGATACTGCTAGCAAGCCATGATTGAGGTAAAGCACCACAATGTACAACAAGATTAAACAACTTCCGGTATACAGGCATCATTACCTTGACACTGGACTTCATGTTCTCAGTGAATACTCATTCAAGCCCACAAGCTTTGTTATAACGTAACCTGTTATGGCTGAGGTTATTTCATCTTCACAAATAAGCTTGATTCTGTAAAATAGTCCTACAATTGTTCAACAGGAACTAAGTTGTTCACACAGATGTTCAACAAAACACATGTCCAGATGCAGGATGAAGATATCACTCTTCTCAGACTTTGTTGCTTCGCTTTCTTCCTTAGAATTACTCTCAACATCGTGTTCATGTCGAGTACTCTCAATATAACTAATGACACACATAAATGAAAACTGTAAAGTGACCAATGAATATCAGATAATGCAAGGTCAAACCCACGTGAAAAGGGAAACAGCTCAGCTCTTGCTGAACAGGTAGGCTTCAATGTTGTACAGGTAAGGGTCCCAGTGCCCTGTCTTCGTCTACTCTTCCATTGGCTGTATATAGACCGGTAGCTTTACATATAACTAACAGTTTATGTTTATAAGAACTGGCTGTATATAGACCGGTAGTTTTACATATATCTAACAGTTCATATCTATAAGAATTGGCTGTGGTGTACTTTGAACTCCCGTCTATACCCACATTCAACTTGATTCAAATACCGTGATCCCTTCAAGTTTATCCTCTGTATATGGACCAAAAGTTTACATATATGTAACAGTTTATATTTATAAGAATTGGCCCTTGAACTCCTGTCTATACCCACGTTCAACGGAATTCAAATTCCGTGATCCCTTCACGTTAATCCTCTGTGTATAGAAATATGAGCAATTTACTTTGCTTATTGGGGTGATTGAATGAAATCAGATTCTACCACATCGCCGCAGCAAGGCACACCGGACACACTCCCTTTGACGGGCGACTGAATATCAAGCCAGGTATCTGTCCTTCGTGTCTTGATGTGTCTGTAGTAGACATTGGAGAGTCTGTAAATGTGAACTCTATTCCATCGACTGTTACTGTAGCAGATCCTCCCGCTCCAAAGGTAGTGCCAGGTCCCTTCATGTTCACATACAGAGTATAGGTCGCACCTGCTGTGAGGTAAAGAGGACTGTGAAACAGGAAGTCATTCAACACTTTACTGCCTTGAAGCAACATTCTGGTGTTCAGGAACGATTCATCAATCACCGCGTTGTTGGCGTCAAACACTCTGATTGTCACGGTATACTCTGCGTCTCCATTCCATCCACCAAACAGCTGACACCCCAGTAGGAGAATGCTCTGACTAGGTGAGAAGGAGATAGCACTTTTCCCAGCTGGCAGAATAGGACCGCATTGAATAAATCTATTGGCCACACGTTTTTTGGAGGCCTTATATTTCCCTTCAATGATAGCGTCGACCTTTCTCTGTGAGTGTTTAAACGGAGATATGTCCACAGTTGTGTCCATATCTCTGTCCATTATTCGTATTCTCTCATCCCCTGTCAGCAAACCTGATTTCCCTACAACCTTCACCAGATACTCCAGGGGGATGCTGGTAAACCGGATCTCATACCTCATCTCTCCCAGGACTCTACGTATGTTCTCAGGCGTGTCACTCACACCTTCCTTCCGGCATCTTCTCTTTGTCCAGGACAGCACTGCGTCAAATACGTCTTCCTCTTTCAATCTCAAATTATCTGACCTGACAAACTGATCAAGACAATCACGGCAAAGACTCACAAACCCCAGAGACTTGGCAACTCTGTTCCCTCCTCGTGTAAGAATCTTCAGCGCTCTCTGTTCCAGGTCCAGCTCCCCATAACCATGACACTCCTCCAGGATCTGGCAGACATTGTCTTCTGATAGGAACTCTTCCAGGGACGTTACACAAAGATCGTACAATGCGTCCAGGGAATATTTCCTAGAGGTGTACATTAGTCCTGTGACTGTTTCACCATTGATAGTGGCCTTGTCTGTGTAAACATATCTACAACAATATGCAAGGAAAATGTTACATTGTTGAAAACAAAGGTATCTACAGTACCTTTGAAGATGAGTGTTACGATGGATTAATTTAGGTTTCGTTAGATTTCTCATCTTTATTCAAATCCAGATACAAGCACAGTCATGTGGGGTTATCTTTTTTTAAATGTTCACTTGTTCAGATATTTGTAGTTACTTTTAGAGGTTAACCTACATGATATTCCTTCTTCTCACTTGTCAGGTTAGCATCATATACAACAAACACAGCTACATGCCAGCATTCAGAACTCCCTTGATGCAGGACATGCTGACTGAGTTTTATTTGTTTGATATTGCCTTCGAGACTAAGAATCTATGTGTATACACTTAAGATTTAACCTGAGTATGGAGGAAGATATTTCTGTCGGCCCAGCAACTTCGCGACTTTGGTATAAAATCAACATAGATTATGGAAGGTGTTATTTTCTCAGGGTAAAGGATGATTTGTAAAACCGCTAGAACTCTTTGAAGATGTCTGCCTCAATGTCAGGGATGGTTACCTCCCCTTTCTCCGCCAGGGGGCCACAGAACATGGCATGGAAGACACAGCTGCGACTGACGAGAACGTAGCGGTGAGCTCGGACCACCTGTTTCTCTGAGCCCAGACGGAAGGTGACGTCACAGAAGTCTTCCGTGTCGAGCATGCGTAGGTTACACTCTGTGACAGTCTTCCCCGACTGCCAGTTGTCGGCATATCCAGATTTTCGGCTTACGTGCGACATTGTGGAACTTGGAACAAAAATCACGGACATTATAACCTTGAGTCGATGGCTTAAACTGTATCTGAAAACTTCGCGTGAGCGTAATTCGATTTTGAGCATTGGTAGGCAGACACTTACGGAAACCTTTTAGGGCCATTCGTTTGTTCTTTTTGTCTTGAAATTTCAAGATACTAAATTGAGATTTTACCTTTAAGTTTCAAGATACTAAGTAGAAATTTCAGGTCATTATCCTGAAATTTCAAGATATTATCTTGAAATTTCAACTTAGTATCCTGAATTTTCAACTTATTATCTTGAAATTTCATGATATTACCCTTGAAATTTCAACTTAGTATCTTGAATTTTCAACTTATTATCTTATAAAAGTTAAAAAACCACAAATGACCCTAAAAGGCTTCCGTAGACACTCGTTTATTCCAATTTAATACCATTGACTGTAACAACATGAACTTTACGTGCATGTGACACAAAGTCCGTGTGTGATGGTGGTCATGATCTGTAAAACGGTGTTTGAGCTTTAGCATTTTGACGCATTTCTCTGTGTTCCAATGGCCCGAAATCACATGTTTGAAGCTCGTAAATGACAAATTATTGTTAAGAGGGAGGAGGAAGTACTCACGGAAATGAAAAAAACTGTTTTTTAGACCTCAGATCTTAAATAAATGCAGTTAATATACAAAATATGTAAATATTCAAACAACTAAATTAGTACTAATTGGGCCATTGCACAAATACAGCGTATCAAAGGTTTTTATGCCCTTTTACACGTAAAAGTGTGTAAAAATGTGAATAAAACAGACTATTGTGAAACAGGGCATAACCAGGTGTAAGTAGATCAAGGTGTCATAGGTGCATAGGTGCATAGGTGCAACAGGTGCATAATGCCTATAGTCTGTTTCTGCTATGTCAATTTGGACTTAGTTTTATTTTTGAATGTTGAAAGTGCCGACAAATTACCTCCTGTAAAGTACATTTTGTATTGTTCACTGAGATCAAACTAGCAAATCCAGACTAGTACTTTTCGAGTTGTTTTGTTATTTCGTATTTACAGCTACGTAACACTTTGTGTCGATTTTTAAATTGAGAAAAACAGTTTTTTTCATTTCCGTGAGTACTTTTAAGACAGATCGCGACACACATGATTGTGTGTCATAGTATTGTCAGTAGGTTTGAAGGTAATAATGGACAGATCCCTGCCCCACACACTGCGGTCTTGACCCATTGAATATTTCACTCTACTCGGGCGTGGGGCAACGGTATTTATTAAGCCCCCTGGTGATTATAAAAGCTTATTCTTGTAAGTTGACAAGGCAACCTTATCTTCAAGTATTCGATGAAAGAATTTAGAAAATCGCCATTAGAATCTGGAGTATGGGTGACTTTTGTTTTAATTTGACGGGATCCCCACTCTCTTCTGTAATCTACACAACCTACTGTGAAGAAGTGGCTTTGCAGAGATCCATGTTAACTCCATGTGATAGTGCGGGACACCATTGTCTTGTTACAGGTCAAGATTGCGCCAACATGACAATACCAATGAAAAGCGCACCACTTGCTTGATAACGATACCACGCTTGCTTTTGCTTAATCAGATTGGTTCGAGATTGCAGATTAACATAAAGATACCCAAAGTCCCGCTTGCGTTCTCACTAACCTCATCACGTGACAGTTGAAATGAAATTCAAATTGACCAACTCATAAAGTTGACATAACATTTACATTTACATACATCCCTCCATCCACCACACACATCTCTCCATCAACCACACACATCCCTCCGGCCACCACACACATCCCTCCGGCCACCACACACATCCCTCCATCCACCACACACATCCCTCCATCCACCACACACATCCCTCTATCCACCACACACATCTCTCCATCAACCACACACATCCCTCCATGCACCACACACATCCCTCCGGCCACCACACACATCCCTCCATCCACCACACACATCCCTCCATCCACCACACACATCCCTCTATCCACCACACACATCCCTCTATCCACCACACACATCCCTCCGGCCACCACACACATCCCTCCATCCACCACACACATCCCTCCATCCACCACACACATACCTCTATCCGCCACACACATCCCTCCATCCACCACACACATCCATCTATCCACCACACACATCCCTCCATCCACCATACACATCCCTCCATGCACCACACACATCCCTCCGGCCACCACACACATCCCTCCATCCACCACACACATCCCTCCGTCCACCACACACATCCCTCCCTCAACCACTCACATCCCTCCATCAACCACTCACATCCCTTCGTCCCCCCTCCATTCACCACACACATCCCTCCATCAACCCCCCACACATCCCTCCATCACCCCACACACACCCCTCCATCCATCACACACATCCCTCCATCCACCACAGACATCCCTCCGTCCACCACACACATCCCTGCATCCACCCCCCACACATCCCTCCATCACCCCACACACATCCCTTCGTCCACCACACACACCCCTCCATCCACCACACTCATCCCTCCGTCCACCACACACATCCCTCTATCCACCACACACATCCCTCTATCCACCACACACATCCCTTCATCCACCACACACATCCCTCTATCCACCACACACATCCCTGCATCCACCACACACATTCCTCTATCCACCACACACACCCCTCCATCCACCACACACATCCCTCTATCCACCACACACATCCCTCCGTCCACCACACACATCCCTCTATCCACCACACTCATCCCTCCGTCCACCACACTCATCCCTCCATCCACCACACACATCCCTCCATCCACCACACACATCCCTCTATCCACCACACACATCTCTCCATCAACCACACACATCCCTCCATGCACCACACACATCCCTCCGGCCACCACACACATCCCTCCATCCACCACACACATCCCTCCATCCACCACACACATCCCTCTATCCACCACACACATCCCTCTATCCACCACACACATCCCTCCGGCCACCACACACATCCCTCCATCCACCACACACATCCCTCCATCCACCACACACATACCTCTATCCGCCACACACATCCCTCCATCCACCACACACATCCATCTATCCACCACACACATCCCTCCATCCACCATACACATCCCTCCATGCACCACACACATCCCTCCGGCCACCACACACATCCCTCCATCCACCACACACATCCCTCCGTCCACCACACACATCCCTCCCTCAACCACTCACATCCCTCCATCAACCACTCACATCCCTTCGTCCCCCCTCCATTCACCACACACATCCCTCCATCAACCCCCCACACATCCCTCCATCACCCCACACACACCCCTCCATCCATCACACACATCCCTCCATCCACCACAGACATCCCTCCGTCCACCACACACATCCCTGCATCCACCCCCCACACATCCCTCCATCACCCCACACACATCCCTTCGTCCACCACACACACCCCTCCATCCACCACACTCATCCCTCCGTCCACCACACACATCCCTCTATCCACCACACACATCCCTCTATCCACCACACACATCCCTTCATCCACCACACACATCCCTCTATCCACCACACACATCCCTGCATCCACCACACACATTCCTCTATCCACCACACACACCCCTCCATCCACCACACACATCCCTCTATCCACCACACACATCCCTCCGTCCACCACACACATCCCTCTATCCACCACACTCATCCCTCCGTCCACCACACTCATCCCTCCGTCCACCACACACATCCCTCTATCCACCACACTCATCCCTCCGTCCACCACACTCATCCCTCCGTCCACCACACACATCCCTCTATCCACCACACTCATCCCTCCGTCCACCACACACATCTCTCCGTCCACCACACACATCCCTCTATCCACCACACACATCCCTCCGTCCACCACACACATCCCTCCATCCACCACACACATCCCTCCATCCACCACACACATACCTCTATCCGCCACACACATCCCTCTATCCACCACACACATCCCTCTATCCACCACACACATCCCTCTATCCACCACACACATCCCTCCATCCACCACACACATCCCTCTATCCACTACACACTATCCTCCGTCCACCACACACATCCCTCTATCCACCACACACATCCCTGTATCCACCACACACATCCCTCTATCCACCACACACATCCCTGCATCCACCACACACATCCCTCTATCCACAAAACTCATCCCTCCGTCCACCAGACACATCCCTTCATCCACCAAACACATCCCTCTATCCACCACACACATCCCTCCATCCACCACACACATCCCTCCATCCACCACACACATCCCTCCATCCACCACACACATCCCTCCATGCACCACACACATCCCTCCGGCCACCACACACATCCCTCTATCCACCACACTCATCCCTCCGTCCACCACACACCCCCTCCATCCACCACACACATCCCTCTATCCACCACACACATCCCTCCGTCCACCACACACATCCCTCCATCCACCACACACATCCCTCTATCCACCACACACATCCCTCCGTCCACCACACACCCCCTCCATCCACCACACACATCCCTCTATCCACCACACACATCCCTCTATCCACCACACTCATCCCTCCATCCACCACACACATCCCTCCGTCCACCACACACCCCCTCCATCCACCACACACATCCCTCTATCCACCACACACATCCCTCTATCCACCACATACATCCCTCTATCCACCACATACATCCCTCTATCCACCACACACATCCCTCTATCCACCACACACATCCCTCTATCCACCACACACATCCCTCCATCCACCACACACATCCCTTCATCCACCACACACATCCCTCTATCCACCACACACATCCCTCCATCCACCACACTCATCCCTCCGTCCACCACACACATCCCTCTATCCACCACACACATCCCTTTGTCCACCACACACATTCCTCTATCCACCACACACATCCTCTATCCACCACACACATCCCTCCGTCCACCACACTCATCCCTCTATCCACCACACACATCCCTCTATCCACCACACACATCCCTCCATCCACCACACTCATCCCTCCGTCCACCACACACTATCCTCCGTCCACCACACATATCCCTCTATCCACCACACACATCCCTCTATCCACCACACACATCCCTTCATCCACCACACACACCCCTCCATCCACCACACTCATCCCTCTATCCACCACACACATCCCTCTATCCACCACACACATCCCTTCATCCACCACACACATCCCTCCATCCACCACACTCATCCCTCTATCCACCACACACATCCCTCTATCCACCACACACATACCTCTATCCACCACACACATCCCTCTATCCACCACACACATCCCTCTATCCACCACACACATCCCTCCGTCCACCACACACATCCCTCTATCCACCACACACATCCCTCTATCCACCACACACATCCCTCTATCCACCACACACATCCCTCTATCCACCACACACATCCCTACGTCCACCACACACATCCCTCTATCCACCACACAGACACCCTATCCACCACACACATCCCTCCATCCACCACACACATCTCTCCGTCCACCACACACATCCCTCCATCCACCACACACATCCATCTATCCACCACACACATCCCTCCGTCCACCACACACATCCCTGCATCCACCACACACATCCCTCTATCCACCACACACATCCCTCTATCCACCACACACATCCCTCTATCCACCACACACATCCCTACGTCCACCACACACATCCCTCTATTCACCACACAGACACCCTATCCACCACACACATCCCTCCATCCACCACACACATCTCTCCGTCCACCACACACATCCCTCCATCCACCACACACATCCATCTATCCACCACACACATCCCTCTATCCACCACACACATCCCTCTATCCACCACACACATTCCTCCATCCACCACACACATCCCTCCATCCACCACACACATCCCTCTATCCACCACACACATCCCTCTATCCACCACACACATCCCTCCATCCACCACACACATCCCTCTATCCACTACACACTATCCTCCGTCCACCACACACATCCCTCTATCCACCACACACATTCCTCTATCCACCACACACATCCTCTATCCACCACACACATCCCTCCGTCCACCACACACATCCCTCTATCCACCACACACATCCCTCTATCCACCACACACATCCCTCTGTCCACCACATACATCCCTCTATCCACCACACACATCCCTCCATCCACCACACACATCCCTCTATCCACCACACACTATCCTCTATCCACCACACACATCCTTCTCTCAACCACACACATTCCTCTATCCACCACACACATCCTCTATCCACCACACACATCCCTCCGTCCACCACACACATCCCTCTATCCACCACACACATACCTCTATCCACCACACACATCCCTCTATCCACCACACACATCCCTCTATCCACCACACACATCCCTCTGTCCACCACATACATCCCTCTATCCACCACACACATACCTCCATCCACCACACACATCCCTCTATCCACCACCCACTATCCTCTATCCACCACACACATCCCTCTCTCCACCACACACATTCCTCTATCCACCACACACATCCCTCTATCCACCACACACATCCCTCTGTCCACCACACACATCCCTCTATCCACCACACACATCCCTCTATCCACCACACACATCCCTCTATCCACCACACACATCCCTCTATCCACCACACACATACCTCCATCCACCACACACATCCGTCTATCCACCACACACATCCCTCTATCCACCACACACATCCCTTCATCCACCACACACATCCCTCTATCCACTACACACTATCCTCCGTCCACCACACATATCCCTCCATCCACCACACACATCCCACCATCCACCACACACACCCCTCCATCCACCACACACATCCCTTCGTCCACGACACACCCCCCTCCATCCACCACACACATCCCTTCGCCCACCACACACATCCCTCCATCACCTCACACACATCCCTTCGTCCTCCACACACATCCTTCCATCCACCCCAAAAGAAAACAGCCTTGAGATTTCCCATCACCTCAAGGTGATAAGTCGTTGCATAACCAAAGCACAGTTCAGACTGTTCTGATGTAATAAGAGGAGTTTACTTGAAATGGCATAGAAAAATTATTACTATGACAATTTATTACAGTTGTCATGGAACATACACAAAGAATGTCATAACATCTACTTACCATTCCCTAAAGATGTCCCACATTACACTTCACTATTAAACACGTTACCTCTGGCATATTAAACACAAAGTCGTTGCACATGAACAGTAAGAGCTTACCTTAGAACAAAAGCTTGAAAAACGGCGAGCGCGAAAGGGTGTGTGATCGATGTCACCTGTTATTCCAGTTGAAACAACTTCCGCGTTCGCTATCTGTATACGTATGTGATCACGTGATGATAACTGTCCTTTTTTTTATCTCCTGATAGGGCGGTAGGGTACACGTAGTGTTTTAGTTAAGTTTGTTCTGCTCACCGAGTGTCCGGGTTCAATCCTCAAAATGGGTACAATAAGTATCTGTGACTTCAAGGAAAAGGGTCGGTTAGCCTCTGTGACTTATGGAGAAGGATAAAGTCAGTTCTGATAAAATTGTACTCATGAACAGTGTCTGGTAGGTACATCGACGAAATGACTGGACTTATTTATGGCACGGGCAGAAATACATCTCCAGTCTTTGATTACTGATTGATTTCGAAAGCATTTGACACTGTTGACTGGATATTTAATTTCAAATTAGTGTTCCTATACGAAGATACTTTAAAAAATTTCATCGGGGAATTCAATCTAATTTGTGTGTAAATGGCCAAGGTTATGCCATGTTTAATATATCTGGAGGGTGTCGCCAAGGTGACCCCCTTTCGCCGTATATATTTATCTTATCTGCCGAAAAACTCGCAACACTGACAAGAAATAATAAAAACATAAAAGGCATAAATATTGAATATTTGCTTGCCTATGATCCTACTTGTAACCCCGGGGCACTCGTGAAGAGCAACCTCCCCGTGGTGAGTGTTGTGGGTAACGGTCTTCTCCCGTTTGGGCCCGTGGTGGAATGTGTCCACAGCACCCCATTGCTTGTCGTATGAGGCGTAATTGGGCAACCGTTTGCCGTGGGTTGCATCCCTGTGTCAGTGTAAGAAGGGATTGTTGTGTTTGAGGGCACTGAGCCAGGAACAGTGTTCCTTTTGCCCAACACACCACTTTGACCCTAACTTCACCTAGATGGTTGTAGAATGGGTTTTATCAATCGGACGCCATGCCCTGAGCATGGTCCACTTTGATTTTGAATATATATACTTACATTCCACAAAATAATTATGGAAAACATCAAAATTTGTATGTGTTATTAATCTGCCTAGAGTCCCATGCCTGAAGGCGGTGGCTCATGGGCCAATCTGGCATTATTGACCTCCGGGTTCTATTTGTCTTCAGAAAATTGCCAAGGGCGGAACCAGCCTGACTTTATTTCTGTTTGACTCTCTTAGCTACCCGTGTCTGTATTGCTCGAGTATAGCATGCCTTGTGTTTGTAGTCGGCTCCCACTATAGCACCGTCCTTGTTGACACTCCATGGTGGGTGGGGAGCAGGAGTGTCGAATATCCTTTTTTCATTATTGCTTCCCCACAGATCACTGGTTCTCGACAAAAAAATAAAAGAAGGCATATTGATACAGATCCTGCAATATCTTCTGATGAGGATTCTGTACAAACTATTGATTCTTGGCCACGATTTCTGGTAGTTGAAGGGGTTGATGGTGAACCTCTCAAACTCAATCCCTTTGTAGTTTCAAAATCAGTAGAAGGTATTTGTGGTACTGTGAAGAATGTTACTCGTTTCCGATCCGGTTCACTGCTTGTAGAGTGTGCAAGGAGACAGCAATCTCTGAATTTGCACATACAGAGATTCATGTAGAGGCATTGTACGTGGCTGTGCAAAGTGCCTCTCAGACATGTCTGTAGAAGAGATTGTTGCAGAGTTGATGTCTCAAGGTGTATCTTCGATGAAACGGTTTACAAGTAAAGATGGTTACACCATCATAAAAACAACTACTTACCTTTTCACTTTTAACCTCACTAAGCTTCCTTCCTCAAATTTAAGCCGGTTATTTCAACATCGGAGTAGATGTTTATATTGCAAATCCGCTCCGTTGTTTTAAATGTCAACAGAGCAATATCCTGTCGCCATACTCAAGTTTGCTCCCGCTGCAGTAAGACCCCTGATAGCACTGACTGCACAGATACCATAAAATGTGCAAACTGCAGCGGTGATCACATGTCCACTTCTAAATCATGTCCCTCTTTTGTGACACAAACTATAGTTCTAAAACTGAAATACACAAATGATGTCTCATTTACAGACGCGAAGAAGTTGGTTACAAGTGAATCAACCACTGCCACTTCTTCACGGAACTATTCTGCTGCAATCTCCTCTTCTCCAATCAAGGCTGATAATAGCTGTCAAACAGCTCTTAGCTGGGTGGGGGCACGGGTGGCCCAGTCGTCTAAGGTGCTGTGATTCGCTGTGCAGAGTTGCGTCCCTTGGGCACGCCAGAAACCCATGATTGTGGGTTCGAATTCTGGTTCACCCCGATTATGTTTCTAGGATTGTCAGCACCGTGCTCGTGGGTTTCACCGAAGTGGTAAACGTCTGAGACCTGCATCACTTCGGGCTTTTCTCCCACATTAAGCTGACACGCCACAATATAACTGCAATACTGTTAAAAGCGGCGTCAAACCCAACTCACTCACTCACTCACTTAGCTGGGTATCCACTGACCAGAAAATTTTAAATCCAATAGATACTGTCATCTGCACTTAATCTTCTTCAGCGTCACAAACTGAACCGCTGCCGGAAGCTGTACCTTTACCAGAACCTGCCATTCACCCAGGGTTTTGTAGCTGACCTCAAAACTAATAGATATCTCACGAACAAAGAAAGAGAATAATGACGAGAAGAAGCAAGTGCCCTTAAACATGTTGGTTCACAGCTATATACCTAAATTTCAAAGATACCAAAAGCAGCAGGAAAAGTATTAGTTTTAATTCAGATAACTGGGAAGATTATAATGAAGTCTTTTCCATTCATGAGCTTCATACTGCCATTGGGCCAGCTCATGATACTGCTTCAGGGGCTGATATTGAAAGTTGTTTCAAACTCAATGTGGGGAGGGGAGGGGCTTGTAAAGTAATTTAAAATTATTAGATACTACACATCATCAAGGCCTGAGGCTTTGCCTTGGCGATTTCAGAACTTCGCCTATTGATAGTTTGTACGAAGAAGCTGATGAAACGTCCCATATACCGTCTCATTAAATAATCTTTACAGTATATCACAAACTTACGTTCTAATAACTCGAATCCAGAATATGACTGTATTTTAATCCCCTTTATGAAAATCTCTACAATTAAAAAAATCATTTCTCCCTCCACTTGGAATAAGGCTACGTTCTGATATTTCTGCTGCTGAAATAAATCTTGATACTGTAGCCTCCACTCAGCTTTTGTCTTCTTCGCCATGGCAGTTAGTGAAACCAGGGGTGGATCTAACATTAACTCAACTTAAGAAATCTGAAACAAATCAGCTAATTTATCAACAACAATATAACGAATTAAGAAACACATATGATACTTACAAATCTATATTTACAGATGGATCCAAGGATGGTGACGCTGTTGCCAGCGCCAGTGTCATTGAATCCAGGACTATGTCATCCCGATTACCAGATAATTGTTCTATTTTTACAGCAGAAGCAAATGCTATTTTTAACAGATCGTCCATTTTGTATCCCTTGTGATGAAATAATCACAGTCAAACACGCCTCTGCTTGACTGTGTTGATTTTTCCATCATAAGGTATAAATATTTCAAATCATCATCAATAAGGATCTTTTAATACTATCAATTCTCATTTAGTTAAAGTTTTTAAAAAAGAAATTGAACTTATTGATACATTCTAAATTGTGTAGATAGCTATATTTTATAATGGTAATGTATAATTTGTAACTTATATGGTCAGTGGCTGTATCCTCAAAGGGGGTTAAAGTAGCGTAAAATTAGTGTCCCCTGAGAGGATATGTAGGGCTGTATCAGTACATTATTCATACCTCAGTTTCAAACGTAGAATATTTGTATATTTTAACTAATCGATTCATTGCGTACCATCATCAGCAACTGAAGGGAAGGTGTAAATCCTGCTGGGGAACTGTGCAGGTAGCTGAAGTATTGTAAGTCCCCACGGTCCCTAGTAAGGTTGCTGGTGATCTACAGCCCATTTTTATATTGTATTGTTGATTGAAAATATATTCTTTTCAACGTTCTCAACTAGGTTTAAAACCGAAACTGTTATACCCTAGTTATTTTACTGTCCTCCGTTTTTATTCCATATAAATCTATGTATTATGTGTCAGTTCTCATGACGATATGGCTGAAATATTGCCGATGTGACGTTAAATTTTATTCACGTGTTCCGGTTCAACCCTTAACATGGGTACAATACGTATCTGTGACTTCAAGGAGAAGGTCAATCCATGAAGATCCGGGGTAGAATAAGTCTTTAGCAACCCATGCTTGTTGTAAAGATGACTAACGGGATCGGGTGGTCAGATTCGCTGACTTGGTTGATGCATGTAATCGTATCCAAATTGCGTGAATAGATGCTCATGACATAACTGGAGTGTCTGGTCCAGACTTGATTATTGACAGACAGCCGTCATATAGCTGGAAAATTGCTGAGTGCGGCGTTAAACAACAAACAGACAAACAAACAAATGAGAAGGTCCGGTTAGTCTCTGTGACTTATGGGGGCGGCCGGGTAGCCTAATGGTTAAAGCGTTCGCTCGTCACGCCGGAGACCCGGGTTCGATTCCCGACATGGGCACAATGTGTGAAGCACATTTCTGGTGTCCCCCGCCGTGATATTGCTGGAATATTGCTTAATGCGACGTAAAACCATATTCACTCACTCTGTGACTTATGGAGAAGGATAAAGTTAGTTCTAATGTGATTGTACTCATAAACGGTGACCAAAAGGGATTTATGTGTGGTAGGTACATCGGCAAAATGACTAGAATGACTCCGCTGTAAGTATACTTACTGCAGCAATTTGTATGTCAGCTGACAGTATGAAAAAACATATATACACACAAAATGTATCCCAGCCATGGTTTGATAAGGAATGTATAGGATGGAGAGAAATAGACTTTTAAAGACATTTAGACATTTTAAAGCTGGTAAAGATCTAGAGAACTTCATTGCAGCACGCAATATGTACACTGGGGTTATCAGGAAGTAAAAACCGTGTGTGTCGAAATGTTCAAATTGTTAACGATACCAGGTACTTTTGAAGGACGTTGAAACACTGTACATCAACAACCAAAAATAAATCGCCTATACGTATTGACACTTGGTACGAGCACTTTAAAAAATTGTTTTATATTTCTGATAAGCAACATATGGTTGATGATGATGAGGATAATAATGTATATGAAGCTGTTCATGAACTTGATGATATATCTACCTCTATCTTGGACTCTCGTATTTCACAAGAAGAAATATTAAAAGCAATATCACAGCTAAAATGTTCAAAATCTGCTGGATTGGATAATATAATCCCAGAGTTTTGTAGCTGCTCAAGATATTCTGGTCTATCGAACTTGTGTTTTTGATATTATTTTTTTGATACTGGTAAATTGCCAAAGGCCTGGTGTTCAGGTATTTTGATCCCTTTGTATAAAACGGATGATGTATCCTCTCCCAATAATCATAGAGGAAAAACTCCATTAAGCGCATTTAGTAAACTCTACACAGCAGTATTAAATAATAGATTGTCATATTGGGCCAGCGCCTATGAGAAAATAGTTGAATCACAAGCTGGTTTTCGCAAGGGGTATAGTACAACAGACAATATATACATACCACAAGCAGTTATTCAACGTTACGTATGAAACAGTCATGGCAAGATTTATGCACTATTTACAGATTTTCAGTAAGCTTTTGATCTTGTAAATAGATCTAAATTATGGGCAATCTTATTACAGCAAGGAGTCTCACCTAAATTTGTGAAGTCTATACAATATATCAATGAACGTTTCAAGGCCAGTGTCAGATCCAATAACATCTTTTCGGAGGAATGTAATTGTACTCTTGGTTCAAGACAAGGTTGTGTATTAAGCCCAATGTTGTTTTCTATGTTCATCAATGATCTGGCAAGAGATATAGAATTATCATATTCGCATGGAATACAACTACATCCCGATCTTGTTCAACTTTTTTTTGTTATTATTTGTTTATATTAGTTTCTGATAGTGTGTATGGACTTCAGCAACGTATTAATACATTGAAATTGTTTTGCGATGAAAATTATTTATATGTAAATTTAGAGAAAACCAAGGTTGTTGTTTTTAAAAGAGGTGGTATATTATCAAGGCATGAGAAATGTTTTTTTTAATGGAGTCAACCTCGATTGTGAAAACTCCTATAAATATTTAGGCCTAACATTTACCAGGTCTTTATCATGGGGTAAGGGGCGGTCGGGTAGCCTAGTGGTTAAAGCGTTCGCTCGTCACGCCGAAATTCCGGGTTCGATTCCCGACATGGGTACAATGTGTGATGCCAATTTCTGGTGTCCCCCGCCGTGATATTGCTGGAATATTGCTAAAAGCGGCGTAAAACCATACTCAATTACAAAAAAAATCATGGGGTAAACATGTAAAGGATGCAGCGTTAGAAGCAAAGAAAGTGTTATTTGGAGTACTTAAATTTTTACCTGAAGCCGTTATCCTTACTCAACCTCAAATCATGTTGTGAGAGGTGAATGTGTACGTTATCCGCTGTATACTTATGCGTTTTAAAGAGCTGTTACATACTGGTGTAATATTTTGAAAATGACAGACTCACGATATGTCAAACGATGTTATAACATGCAACGTTAGGAGCCCCATAATGTTAAAATTAATTGGGCTTCAAAATTAGAACGAATTATTCAGGTGACAGGTTTTGGCCTTGTTGGGGAGCACCGATGTATTACGAATATCCCCATCTTTATAAAGGAATTTCAATGTAGATTAAAATCTTCATATGAACAAGACTGGCAAGCAACTCTTTCAGAAAGCTCAAAATCATATAACTATTCGTTGTATAAGCAAACTTTTGGCCTGGAAATATATATTACTTTATGTTACCACAAGAGAAATTTAGACATGCTCTGGCTAGATGACGTTGTAGTTCCCATCACTTTCGGATAGAATCTGGTAGACACAAAATGGAACCTAGAGTGGAACGAGTTTGCAAAGCATGTAAATACAATTATGTTGAAGATGAGTACCATTTTATTCTAATATGCAAATGTTTCCAGATTCTTGGGGCAGAATTTATACCAAGAAAATATTATGAATTGCCAACAAGTTCAACATCCTAATGGCATCTGTCCATCGAGCAACTGTACAAAGTCCTCCTTTGTTTATTGTTAAAGCCATGTATCTTATAAAATCATTGTTAAATACATAAATGTGCTCCTCGAACTTCCACTGTACATTTACCGTTTGTATCATGGGCATGTGGTCTACAATACACTTGAATAAAAACTACATGTAGAGTAGAATAATTTATGGCATTTGCAGAAACACACCTCCGATCTTTCATTTCTGATTTATTTGAAAAAACATTTGGCACCGTTGACTGGATATTTAGTTGTTAAATTTTGTGTTCCTATATGTAGATAGTTTAAAATTGTGTATCGGGAGAATAAAATCTATTGTGTTTGTAAATGACCAAGGTTCTGCCATGTTTATATTTTAGGGGGGTGTCGCCAAGGTGACACGAATATTTGCTTGCCTATGATAGTACTAGTAGCCTCGGCGGATCTGAATGTTATCATTTTTCTGTATTACATATCCTTGCAAAATGCTCAGATTTAAAACCATTACATACATTTATCATATAATGGGTAGGTTTCTCGGCAGGATAAAGCCAACGGATAAAAACGATATCCGTTGGGATCATATGCGGATAGAGATGCAAATATCAAAGGTCAAGTAGGGACTACTTTCAGTGTTTATAAACAAACATGGCGCCGCACTTGTCATTCGGCGATCGAGTCATAATTTACCATCCTGAATATGGATAAACTACAGGGATAATTGCTATAATTATAACAAAAAAACAGTCTTATATACTGAAAATCAGTGTCTATCTGCGACGTAACTAAGGCATTTTATAAGTTTGGGCAACTTTGGAGATATAAATTTCGAAACAATTTTGCGAGGGCACTAGGCCTAGTCAAGCGGGATCAGTAGCCATATCTGTGCTTGTAGACCATTGCGGCTTGAAACCTTTTCCACAAATAAAAATAGTTGGATTTAGGCGAAATATGTATGAATTGTTACCTCGTTTCGTTTTGGCGCGGTGTGTACATCTGACTGAACTTCTTAACATTTTGACAGAACAGGCCGACTGCCAACAACGTCTGAACATGGCCGTGACGTCTCATAGACTAGGGTTAGAGTAGCTTCCCTTTGACAAAGGGCAGTTACACTAGCGGACAAACCGATGCATTGTCGCGAAAGGCAAGTAAAAACAATTGTTGTTTTGCGTATATGTTGCTTCGCCAATGTATAAGAAACAGATTTCACTTGGAACTATATTGACTACTGTCATTGTCCGACTGACACATCACTTACCCTGTGACGCACATTCCAGGAAAACTCGCAAAGTTTAGGTAATGTTTGTGAGTGAGGGGAAGCGATTTTCAAGCACAGAATTGAAGAATGACATTATATGATAAAGAGGTTATCACGCTTGTGTGTTTAGGGGTGGTAAATATCCTGTATTAGGAATAAACACTATGTATTTAGCTCGCCAAGGCTCGCTAAATACAACGTTTATTCCTAATGCAGGATATTTACCATCCCCAAACACACTCGCGTGATAACCTCTATTTATCGGTTATAATTCAAAAACTACTGGTCTGACTGGCAGAGGATGGTCATTGGTTGTTTCAGTGTTGTTGAGGCGGTTAATGGTTGCCCTGCACTAAGAGCCCGCGTCCAGTTTACCTGAAGCCCATTCACGTTGATTTGTGATAGTCATGGCATCTACTGTTTTAAAGCGTTCGCTCATCACGCCGAAGACCCGGGTTCGATTCCCGACATGGGCACAATGTGTGAAGCCCATTTCTGGTGTCCCCCGCCGTGATATTGCTGGAATATTGCTAAAAGCGGCATAGAACCATATTGACACCCGCACTACCCACGGGGTGACGATACACTTGGTGAGATATTAACTTTATCCCATCAGTACTTCACAAGTGTGTTGTACAAGGTTCAGGTCTCCGTGGCCTCTGACCATGGAGACTCCACTCGTTTCCTCAAGAATATAACGAGAATGAGTGTAGTTTAATGCTGGTAGTTAAATACAAGATACTTCAAAATAGGGGTAGTAGTCATTTTCTTGGAATTCTAAAATTCTAAGAGGAATAATTTTATTAATAATGTAATGTAATAATTCCTCATTGATGATATCTCTGCGAAAATTGGGAATTGGACATGTAGGGCAATGGGCACCAATCGTACCCCCCTTCGTGCTAATCCGTCTCTTTGTGCATATGAATCGCGAAAGAACTGTACCGTTTGGTGTCTACATTTCAAAATTGTCAGGGCACAGTCGAGCTTGCTCGTTCTACGAAACTTTCGAAGGCGTCTTGCAACTCTTTGTTAAAAAGTAGGTTGGGTTACTGTGGATCACTGTGGATCACTGTGAACGGATCAGCTTTACCAAGCATATCAATGTAACACTTCAAGCACAGAGCGGTCTATATAGACCACAACGACTATACCCTTGTGTTCAAGCGTTTCTCATTTCCGTTTTGTCAAAGTAACTTCGTCTTTGGCATCAAGGAAAACCACAAACCGATGACGACCTCCACCCGACTGTATGACGTATTCATGACCCTGGAGGCCATAGAACGACACCCTCGCATCCTTCCACAAGGCAGGCTTGTGATGCTCCAGGTTAGAGATGCAGGCTTGGATCTGTCGCCGTAGATACGTCCCCTCCTCGTCTGTCTCTGTACCTTCGTGGCCGACAGTCTTGATGATCAGCTTCCCCAGCGTCCTCTTGTTCACGTCCTCAACTTCCAGCTGAAACAAACCCGTGAAGATCCGGGGTAGAATAGGTCTTCAGCAACCCATGTTGCCGTGAAAGGCGACTATGTTTGTCCTCTACTTCCAGCTGAAGAGTGGTAACATGAAGGAGAGACTGGGCCTGACATTCCTGGCATAACCTTCCCACCAAGCAGTCACACACAGATGCAGAGGAGGCCTTACTTAAAGATCGGTAAAACACTTTGGATTCTCTACGGTATATTTTACGTTATTCTTTAAAACGAAAATGTCTATTTTTGAACGTACCAAATACTTTCTTCTTGAGACAATAGAACGATACCCTTTGAACAATACCAAAGCCCTATTTTGTAAAATAATATTCGGAATAGAACACGATCAAGCTGTACAACCTACCAAAACCGAGGGTTCGTGAGCGGACAGCTTTTCACCATGTCCTGTCTGAAAGGGAAATAGTTCTAGGATATGGAAGACAGCAATGTTCAACGTAACTTGTGTACAACGTGGCCATTCTGGCAATTTCCAATAACAAGCCTTACCTCAATTGCAGCAATGTACTGGTGTTTCATCGTCACGTCTGTCGTCAGGGAATGGAAATACAGTTATTAAACTACGGTTATAACGAACTGAAAGGGACCACTAATTTGAATTCGTTATTACCGTAGTTCGTTATATCATATGTACGACAGTTATACAGGAAATGGACAGGACCAAGAAATAGTTCGTTATATCCGTCAGTTCGTTATAAGCGCATTCGTTACAAATGCAGTTTACTGTAACCTATTTTCATTAACAAATAATCAAACTGGAAATTTAACAGCAGTTAATTCCATACTTTCTTCTCTATTTTAAACCCGTCACGCCGAAAACCCGGGTTCGATTCCCGACATGGGTACAATGTGTGAAGCCCATTTCTGGTGTCCCCCGCTGTGATATTGCTGGAATATATAAGGCGGCGTACCCTACCCCTGTAGATGGTATACCTTATTGTTGAGACGAACCTCCATGCGTCACGTGTCAACACGCGGAAATCAATACCTCTAACTGATGGACGGATCTCGTAGACGTTAAACACTGCATGTGATGCCAGTCGAAATATAATAATATATATGTTGATATTATTTTAGCGTTTATCGTAATGTGTAGCTCTGTTATTTTTGTGATCTGTCAAAACCGAATTTTCGCAAATTTTTTTTAACCATATACAAAATATACAGACTAAATACATTAGCCTGAAACGTTCAGTATTGAATCTAGACAGCATATAGTTCATTAATGTTTCGTTAAAGGCTACATGTAGTTCATACAGTTTTAGACACGTGCGCGCTTGTGGAATATTTGATTATATAAACGCTCACGTACCGTGTTGCCCATGTTGATGCCGCTAGAACGTATTGACTGATGGCTTCCCTCCCCTGCGTCAGTTGTGGGAGGACGGGTGGGTTTACCCAGATCCCGGGTGGGGAACTCCAGTCACGTGATCACCCATTGTCCACAAAAACACTGCGCAGTTCCACAGACGGGAGCGGGAGTGTTCTGGGCAGTATTTTCAATTCTGACGTCATTTAAGAAGTGTTACCTCCACAAACCAGCATGTTCAGAGTAAGTGGCCTTTGATGCATGTATTGATTACAATGTAGAACATTTCTTATTTATGCGTGATTCCAATGTGCTTAGGGTATTTCAGACAGCTCTCCTCCAGTTCGATATCAGTCAGGGATGACTTCTCTGTATGTAAATATAAGGAACTACAAGTATAATGATAGTGAAGTCGGGATATAATGATAGTGAAGTCGGGATATAATGATAGGATGGTCGGGGTAATATGACACTGTGAAGTCGGGGTATAATGACAGTGAAGTTCAGGTATAATGATAGTGAAGTCTGATATTATGACAGTTAACTCTGGGTATTGTGGCAGTGAAATCTGGGTATAATGATAGTGAAGTCTGATATTATGACAGTTAACTCTGGGTATTGTGACAGTGAAGTCCTGGAATAATGATAGTGAAGTCGGGTATTATGACAGTTAACTCTGGGTATTATGACAGTGAAGTCCAGGTATAATGATAGTGAAGTCGGGTATTATGACAGTTAACTCTGGGTATTGTGACAGTGAAGTCCAGGTATAATGATAGTGAAGTCTGATATTATGACAGTTAACTCTTGGTATTATGACAGTGAAGTCCAGGTATAATGATAGTGAAGTCGGGTATTATGACAGTTAACTCTGGATATTGTGACAGTGAAGTCTGGGTATTATGACAGTTAACTCTGGGTATTGTGACAGTGAAGTCCAGGTATAATGACAGTGAAGTCGGGTATTATGACAGTTAACTCTGGGTATTATGACAGTGAACCCTGGGTATAATGATAGTGAAGTCGGGTATTATGACAGTTAACTCTGGGTATTATGACAGTGAAGTCCAGGTATAATGATAGTGAAGTCGGGTATTATGACAGTTAACTCTGGGTATTGTGACAGTGAAGTCCAGGTATAATGATAGTGAAGTCGGGTATTATGATAGTTAACTCTGGGTATTATGACAGTGAAGTCCAGGTATAATGACAGTGAAGTCGGGTATTATGACAGTTAACTCTGGGTATTGTGACAGTGAAGTCTGGGTATTATGACAGTTATCTCTGGGTATTGTGACAGTGAAGTCCAGGTATAATGACAGTGAAGTCGGGTATTATGACAGTTAACTCTGGGTATTGTGACAGTGAACCCTGGGTATAATGATAGTGAAGTCGGATATTATGACAGTTAACTCTGGGTATTGTGACAGTGAAGTCCAGGTATAATGATTGTGAAGTCGGGTATTGTTACAGTTAACTCTGCGTATTATGACAGTGAAGTTGGGGTACAATGACTGCCAAGTCCTTGTATAAACACAATCAAGTAGGAATATGGCGACCGTAAGATCTGGGTATATTGACAGTGAACTCTGGGAATGAAGAAAGAGAAACTCCGTGAAAGATGACAGTGAAGTTAGAGTATGATGACAGTCGTGACCCGGTATTACTACAATGAACTCGACCCGTGAGGATCCTGGGTAGAATAGGTCTTCAGCTACCCATGCTTGCCGTAAAAGGCGACTATGCTTGTCGTAAAAGGCGACTAACGGGATCGGGTGGTCATAACGCGAACAGGTTGAGGTACGTGTCATCGTATTCCAATTGCGTGGATCGATTCTCAGACTCGATTATTTACAGACCGCGGTCAACTAACAAACAAACAAGGAACTCCGTCTCAAGTTTCAGTTTCAAACACAAACTTTCACACTTACGACAATGTGGATATATATAACCTGCATCTGAACTGATGAGGACATTGTTTCGTAGATAAATGTTCTGTTTTAAATGTAGAGCTGTTCTCCGCGACAAACACGAACACGAATTCTTTTCTCTTTATCCGTACATTTTACCATCTTCTGTCAGTGTTATACTTGATATTCAGCAAGGTTCTCTGTGTTCAGAATGGGTAAGACACGATGACGTCAGTTACAGTATTTAAAACTAAATTCTCCATTCTGCGAACTTATGCACTTAAGATTTAAACGGTGAAAATATGAGATAATTTGACAGTAAAATTTACTGCAAGTGGACGTGTGCGTTTGCGTGTGGCAGCCGTTGGTTATGAATTATGATTAATCTTTTCTTTTCAGGGTTCAACAAAGTCATTCCCGTTGTATTTGAGTATAAAGAATACACTAAAACAAATATACACCGTGGCTGTATGAGTGAGTGAGTTGGGTTTTAACGCCACTTTGAACAGCTTGTCAGCTCAATGTGGGAGGAAAGGCTGAAGTGATGCAGGTCTCAGACGTTTACCACTTCGGCGAAACCCACGAGCACGGGTATGGTGCTGACAAACCTAGAAACATAATTGGGGCGAACCGGGATTCGAACCCACAATCATAGGTTTCGGAGGGACGCAACTCTGCACAGCGAATCGCGGCGCCTTAGACGACTGGGCCACCCCCGGCTACATGAAAACTACAGTTGTAATGAATGAGTGAGTGAGTTGGGTTGCACGCCGCTTTGAACAGTTTTCCAGTTATATCACGATGTGTCAGTTTAGTGTGGGAGGAAAGCCCGAAGTGATGCAGGTCTGAGATGTTTACCACATAGGTGGTACCCACGAGCACGTGTATGGTGCTGACAAACCTAGAAACATAATCGGGGCGAACCGGGATTCGAGCCCAAGATCACAGGTTTCTGGCGTGCCCAAGGGAGGCAACTCTGCACAGCGGATTGCGGCACCTTAGATGACTGTGCCCCTGTGCCCCTGTAATATATGATCACTTAGGTACAATAGCAAATAGACTACAGTTAATTCTGAACTTAATTATGATTTACAACCATTCTTAATTCAGTCATGTCAAAAGGTCATGTCTTTGGATTATGATTGCATAACACTTGATCCTACACTGGACCCTCATTCATAAAGGATTAGTAGCTTACGGTAACTGATATACTTAGTTACTTACGTGAGGAGAATGATACCACTCTGCAAGAAACATCGCGCTGTGAATAGATCGGTTTTATCATGCACATCTATGTTAAACACCTCCTATGTTTCTGACACATCGGCTTTACCATGCATATAAGTGTTATACGTGTTATACTGGGGCGGTCGGGTAGCCTAGTGGTTTAAGCGTTCGCTCGTCACGCCGAAGACCCGGGTTCAATTCCCGACATGGGTTCAGTGTGTGAAGCCAATTTCTGGTGACCCCCGCCGTGATATTGCTGGAATATTGCTAAAAGCGGCGTAAAACCATACTCACTCACTCACTCTGACATAACTGATCTGTTGACATATGATGTTTACTACAGGTGTATAGCATCACGTGACCACTCAGGATCAATGAATACTCAGGAAAATTACACAGTATGTATGTATGTATGTGTGTGTGTGTGTGTGTGTGTGTGTGTGTGTGTGTGTGTGTGTGTGTGTACCTGTCAAGGTACCCAAAACACAGATGATAAGCCTTATCTACTTATTGCGGATTTGAATAGTAGTAAACACATTCCAAGAGCCCAATTCTTTTCCTTGCAGAAGGATGACGACGATATGGTGTCTGGGGTAGGTACAAGTTCATTTTATAATTAATTAATCTCATTACAAACATACCAGCATGCGCTCATTGTTAACGTAAAAACAAAGGAGTGACTATCTGTATGTAAATCAATAGGACACCTGTTACACTAAATGGCAATGTGTAAACACCTTGCGTCATAGCCAAACTTGTTATTAATAATTAATTACTTTTGAATTGCATTCAACGCATCTGGAGAAAGAACTGCTGATTCGTTCTTATTTAATCTTTCCTAAAGTGACATCCAGTGTGTATTGCAGATCGTGAACTGTGGCCCTTACATTGACTTTCCCGACATCTCCGATTTCATCCAAGAGAAGCAGCACCGTCTGCTGGGCGTGGACCGGAAGGTGCTCCAGTGCTGCTACTCTGTGCTAGGGGGCGAGCCTGACTGGGTGTGGAGGAATGCCAGCATGGAGGTCTACGGGAGATTCCTCACTGTCAAGTTCTACGCCAGAAGTCAGTGCAACAAATATGTTGTGTCCATCAACAACGAGGAAGTGACCTCACAGTGTGTCCACAGAGGGCTGCGTCTCAAGCTCAGAGATGGCTTCCGGTCGGTGTTCAGCTGGATTGCGGACACGGCTCAAACTGTTCTGGGAGCAGTGGCTGGAGGTGGCATGGGGATGCTGACCTTTCATTAATCGTAATTACATCTTTGTACTGAGAGTGATATGCAGTTACTTTGAATGTATTTTCACCTTTGAACGTACTGGGGTATCTCTTCATGTCTGGAGCCAGACCTTTTGATGTAACCCTCTGACACTCACCACAGTGATCGCGCATCAATACAATTGATTGTAATTACATCATGTCGACTACCTGCATGAAAGTGTATACCAGCTTCATGTATTCACGTTTGCTTTACTCACTAAAATTGAACATATGAGTGAGAGAGTATGGTTTTACGCCCCTTTTAGCAATATTCCAGCAATATCACGGCGGGGGACACCAGAAATGGGCTTCACACATTGTACCCATGTCGGGAATCGAACCCGGGTCTTCGGCGTGACGAGCGAACGCTTTAACCACTAGGCTACCCGACCGCCCTGAAAAGAACACATTAATTTATGTAAATAAAGCTTGTGGGCCTCCAATTGTTACATGAGATGGTTGATGGTTCTGTACTGCTGGACGGTACATAAATGAGTGTCAACCAAGCGAAGTGCCATATCAAATCGGCCCAGTTGTTCAAGGAGAGGTTTTCTGAACGACCACTGCATCGAGTTTATGTGCAGTGTGTTGAAAAGATCAGCAATCCTGCAGAGTCCTTCACTTGGGTGAAGTTGTCTGGCCTGAAAAGGGAAACAGAAGGCTTTCTGTTTGCTGCCCAGGACAAGTCACTTCCAGCTTGAAACCGTCAATGTGTGATTTTGCATCAAAATGTAAATATGAAATGTAGAAATGTGAGTGAGTGAGTATGGTTTTACGCCCCTTTTAGCAATATTCCAGCAATATGACGGCGGGAGACACCAGAAATGGGCTTCACACATTGTACCCATGTCGGGAATCGAACCCGGGTCTTCGGCGTGTCGAGCGAACGCCTTAACCACTAGGCTACCCGACCGCCCCTTGACAGTAATGTGATTGACAAGATTTCGGTGCCTTAGGTCTTGTACCTCCTAATCTGTTGACTGACATTGGGAGAGTACCCGGGTTTGCTACCAGGAATACAGCCCTTTTGACAATCTGGGTAATGCAGAAGACTGCAGTGTTGGGGAGTCTTTACATTCTCCGAAAAGTTCTGGATGGGTTTGACTAGGCAGCGTTTCCTGGGAAAAGTCCCATTCGCTGTCTGGGCTGCGTGTAGAGGGAGCAAGGGCCCTGAGCTGATGATGACCCTAACCAGCCTGACTGATCACCCAGACCCTCTTTGCTGCATTTTATTTTAATTTGTAAAAAAAAAAAAAAAAATAAATAAATAAAAAAAAAAAAAAAAAATAAATAATAAAAATAATAATAATAATAATCCTCTCGTCCCTGCCAGATGGTGGTGGATGTGTACCTTGTGTTTCCCTTGTCTTCACCTTATATGACATGACATGAGACATGAGATATGAGACATGGCATGAGACATGAGACATGAGATTTTATTTTGGTACTTGGAGGCCAGTGGCCCATGGTACAATAGACATAACAATTCCTCTTGCCACGGTGAGAGGTTACACGATTTAGACACCAAGTGTCTAAAGTCACAGATATACATTAGCTAGAGCAATAGAGTAATAAATCGTATTATGGTGTGAGTTGAGACGACATAAATGTTGCATGTACCTTAAACAGGTGTAGTAATAGATATGTAGCTGTTCTTTGAACATGGTAAATATTGTCATTATTCAATAAGTTAATTTCCACATGTTCAAATTTTAATATTCCCCTTCCTTACTTTAATCTAAGGTTAATATACAATGGACAGACTGCAACTTGATTGTTCTGAAAAGAAAAACACACGGGAACGTCTCAAGTTCATTGTTCTCCACATGTCTACCAAGACACTTTTTTGAAAGTTTTACTGAGGCCTTTGATTGTTTGCGCGGTGTACTACTACCAATTTATTACAGTTGAAACTACCGACAAAATCTGACCTCTTCCAAACAAGGGCGGATCCAACGTTTTTAAAAGGGAGGGGTCCAACATATCAAAATCCTTTCTCAGATAATTTTACTGCCTTTCACATAGCACATTTGGGCCTTCTTGTGCACACATGACCACGTCTTGACCTACCGGACAACCAGTGTCCCTTTTGACCAAGCAAAAATAACCAGACAGTGTCAGATACGCTCTATTACAGTGCTCACTTCTCTCAGAGACCATATAATAGATCTATTATATGGTCTCTGCTTCTCTGCACCGTCCAGATGAATATACACATGTCCTTGTGTACTATAACGACTTCGAAAAGATGCTTGTATTTGTTTCTTTAATCGTCATAAACCCGTAGTACAAAAAGGGTAAAAAACCTGTACATGTCAGCACTTGAGTAATGGTGATAAGACCTTTGAGTAGGCGTCGAAACCACTGATTTGAAACACGTGCTTTTTCCGGAAGTTTGAAAAAAGGGTAAGAAAAGATAACTCTTATTGACTTAGATAGAAAGAGAAGCGTCCGTAAAATATTGCCTCGTAGGGGGCAAGACATGTACAGTAAGAAAAGAAGTCGTTCACTTTGAGTCAGCTTCGTTTTTTAATTTGCTAACACAAGTGATAACAAGTGCTAGCCTCATTACCGTACATCCATGGCAAACAGCCACTTGTCAGATAAGATATTCATTTCAGTGAATATGGTGTGTGTTTATAGCTAATACAGACATGACGCGAATCAACATGTGCATTCAAACAGAAACGTCTTGACAGAATACCGCATATGCATATTCAGTTAAAATGTTTTTGTGTGTTCTTGTATAGACCCTATATCCGTTTTGTCAAAGTAACTTCGTCTTTGGCATCAAGGAAAACCACAAACCGATGACGACCTCCACCCGACTGTATGACGTATTCATGACCCTGGAGGCCATAGAACGACACCCTCGCATCCTTCCACAAGGCAGGCTTGTGATGCTCCAGGTTAGAGATGCAGGCTTGGATCTGTCGTCGTAGATACGTCCCCTCCTCGTCTGTCTCTGTACCTTCGTGGCCGACAGTCTTGATGATCAGCTTCCCCAGCGTCCTCTTGTTCACGTCCTCAACTTCCAGCTGAAACAGACCCGTGAAGATCCGGGTTAGAATACGTCTTCAGCAACCCATGCTTGTCGTAAAAGGCTACTATGTTTGTCGTAAGAGGTGACTTACGGGATCGGGTGGTCAGGCTCGCTGACTTCATGTCATCGTATTCCATTTGCGTAAATCGATGCTTATGATCTCAATCACTGGATTTATGTACTCAAACTTTTAGATCTTAAACAATCTCAAGAATGGAATAAGTTTAGGGTGTGAAACGTACCAAAACCGAGGGTTTGTGAGCCGACTTCATGTCGCCGTGTCCTGTCTGAAAATAGAGAGAGGACATTGAGGAGACCAAGTAAACAGTTAATTAGTAAAATCAGTTATATCCCGGCGTGCCATCTTGATGTGGGAGAAAGTGATTCAGCTCTTGGACATTTACAACTTTGGTGAAACCCACGAGCACGGGCATGGTGCTGACAAACATAGACACATAATCAGGGCCAACTGGGATTCGAACCTACGACCATAGGTTTCTGGCACACCTAAGGGGCGCAACTCGAATTGCTCTGCGAATTGCTCAAAGGCCTCAGGACGTTAGCCATGCGTACCCCCAATTATACGTCTGAAAGAAGATAGGCACTACTAGTTTATTTTCACATGTTATGAACTGTCACATTGGGAAGCATTTACAGTTGACGTTGATCTGATTTAATATATGTCTGAGATAATACGTAAATTGAAAACTTGGTACAGGGTCGCTGTATTTTCTATATAGACATGTACTAGTTCACATCACATGTTAGAAAACATCAGTGGAAGACCCTGAAAGGGTACCAAAATAACTACTGCCACGAAACATAAAATCTCGTTGTTAGAATCGATTTCGGTTTTCGTATTTCAACATGACTACAATATGTTGACATTAGGAAGAAAAACAAACGTGTTTCTTCAGAAAATGAATAATACGATTCTAAAATAACATAGTTTATACAGAAATATATGGTTAGCGGTGCTTATTTCAGAGAAAGATATCTACTTTTACCTCACGTGTTCATCATACAGATGTTTAGGCGAGCCCTTCGGAATTTAAGTATGCCAAAGAAAATACTTTTGACCTATATTCAAACTTGGTGATTTCATCTCACCAAAAGCCAGATAATAACTGGCTGTAATTTAAAAAAATCCCTGGCGCCTTTTCATTGATATTGGTAGCATCATTTCTGAATACCCAGGATTGTTTTATGAATCATGATGCGCAGGGGAATTACCTCACGAGAAAGTATCAAAATGCTCTGTTTAATTCACGACTGCATTTTCTGCGTATTTAGTATTTATTTTATCATTTAACGGTGCTAAACCAACCAAACCCCGAACGTCAATTATGCAATGCTCCACCTGAACCATGGTATACCTCAGATAAATCAGTTAAGAATTACGCTCACTGCAGTATTTGCTCAATATTTAGCAGTTTCAAATCTCAAGTTAACATGGCCCTGAACTGGAGACGAAGTGAGTTTGATTATTATATGTGTTCCGCAACAATTTGTCAAGTTTACTTAAGCTTATTCTGCCTTCCTTGCATTGTCAAACACATAAAATTTTATCCATGATTGTTTAAATACCTGACGTTATTTTCGTTTTTAAACCTAGCAGTAGTTTCTGTCCTGACAATGTTGTAAATGCGAGTGATTTCGAATATTTCATTTTAAATTTTAGCATTATGCGAACAGTGAATAAAAATTCATCGTGTGTACAATTAGACCGATTTAGACAAATGTAGTGATATGGTTTGATGTGCCGAATCCAATTATTAATCATATTCCCAAACAAACCAATTTTCTAAAATTATATGAAATTCATTAAGATCGTACTTCATTGGAATCACACTGAATGAAACAGTTTTGATGCAGGATAAAAATCTTAAATACTTAGGTTTAGGGATAGTGGTGTGGGTGGGTGTGGTGTGGGAATAATGGCCCCGCAAAATTTATATCCGACAAAATCATATTTTCGATTTCTCAATAATTTATATAGTAACTGAACTGAACCAGTCCTATTTTCATTATATATGCTGATGGGAGTTGTCATTAAATACACGTCTTCCATAAGGTGGGGTTTTATCGTCGCCGATAGTCCATCTAGTGCAGTGCGTAATATATGATGATTTTTATTTATATAAACCCGTCAAATGATTGTCAGCAACTGGTAAATAAACTTCATTCGATAAACGTTCTGAAAAAGCTTAGAGAAACACGAGAAAAAACACGTGACAAAACAGGACAATAGACTAGAAAATCCAACATTAAAGGGCCACCCCATACACCCCCCAAAAAACAACAACAACAACAACAACAACAACAAACAAACCCCCAAACCCAAACAAACAATAAACAAACAAAACAAAAACAACAAAAAACAAACTCAATTCTGAAAATGTCAGGAATGAGTTATTTTATCCGACATAGAACTTTTCAACTGGTTTTCAACACGTATTTAGTACTTTCACAATAGTTATCCGAGTTTCATAAACCTCGCGATTAACCTCGTTCTTACATCTCTGTTTCGTGTTTGATGTCAATTGGAAACTTCCCCGTTGACAAAATGAGGGGGGCTGTTCGTCTGCTTAGTAAATAGACAAAAAACGATACTCCATTGTCCAAGACAGAGAGTCATATGTCAAAGAAACAGTTCAAGTGACTACAAATTCATATTTATTGAAGAGATCAACGGAGACGCCAAAGCCTCCAAAGACTCCAATAACGTACCACATGATGTTTGCGACATTTCAACAAGACAACGAAGAACAACAAACTAATGGACGTATATATTGATTGCAACACAATCTGTAACAAGAGCGTTGCGCGTTGAGGCGTGAACTGTTTTTTGTTGTGGTTAGCTTAAACTCGCATGGCCTTGAAACGTTATAGGTGAGGTGAGGTGAAATTGGGTTTAACGTCGCGTCCAAGATTATTGCACTTATATAGCGACGTGCATGCACGTGTGTGTGTGTGTGGCTGCTTGTACTAGTCCGGACTGATGCCGATTTATAGTGCTAGCTCACTGAGATACCATGCCGCAGTTTAACATGAATACCCCACTCAGACACAGTATACTGACTCCGAGCCGACCAGTCCTTGTTTTAGCCCCTTAATGTCGAGCGCCAGACAGGGTAACAACAAGTACCATCTTTTAACGTCTTTTGGTATGACGCAGCCGGGGATCGAACCCCGGACCTTGAAACGTAATACCCTGCTGTCACAGAATACCTTGTTTGTGAACACATATCAAGTAAGACCGCGAATTCCTGGCATGCCTCGTCGGTTTATAACCCTGCGTGTGCTGCTGTGAAAATACGCTACTCTGAAACGTAGATGGTACCATCTTGAAATAAGTCTTATGTACTCGTTTGTTGTTTAACTATAGGAGCTTATATTAGTTCAAACATTTGTGGACACATATGTTTGTGAATAGTTGATAAGGTGATATAAACGCTTACGTACCGTGTTGCCCATGTTGGCGCTGCCAGAACGGAATGACGGTGTTTTTTTCCAGTCCAGCTTCAGTAGTGGAATGACGGTGGTTTTCCCAGCCCTTCTTCATTTGTGGAATGACGGGTGGGTTTTACCATGACATGGGATCCATGACTCCAGTCACGTGATTCCCCCCATACAGAGATACTACGCAGTTCCACAGACTGGACTCTGAACAGTGTCCTGGACATTTTGTTTTATTTCTCAGTTCATTAAAGAAGTTTTACCGACACAAGCCAACATATCAAAATGTTCGGAGTAAGTGGCCTTTTAGTTGTTATCTGTTTCAGTTTCTTTGTGTATTGATCTGTCATTTCAATGAGTACAAGCGAGTCATGTTCTGATCTCTTTCAGTATACATGTATGTTCTAAATACTTGATACAAAAAAAAAATTATTTTGAATTCCTGGTATATTTCCTAGTTTACCTCTAAGAACCAGTGTATACAACAGTCATGTCACCAAGTACCTCTCAGTGTTCGGAGCATGAATCTCTTTTGCCCAACATGTTGCCTTTATTTCAATAATTATCTAGATAAGTGAGTGAGTGAGTTGGTTTAACGCCACTTGTAACAATATTCCAGTTATATCACGGCATGTTGTGGGAGGGAAGTCGGACGCGATGCAGGCCTCAGACTTTTACCACGGGGGTAAAAGTTTTTTGATGCACTAATGTACTGAAATAATGACCCTCCCCTAATACATGTTATATTTGTGGATATAGAGAATCTCACCCGATTCTCTTTTGATATCAAACATATCAACACGAGTTGATAAAAGTGGGGAAACTCCGAGGCTTGCCGAGGTTTTTTTCCACTTTTATCAACGAATGTTGATATATTTGATATCAAAAGACACGAGGGTGAGATTTTTTTATCATCCAACATTTTTCTTCCACCTTTTACAGTTTGTAGAAAGTAATCAGCAGTGTCTTAAGTGTAAAAAGTACTCCTAACAGCTTCAGTAGCAGAGCCATTAGTGAAGTCATTTGATTGTGACGTCATGGTAACCAATGACGTCACAATGGTCTGCAAAGCATTGTGATGCGATGTCATTGCAGCGATATCTACCGTGGGAGACAGTTTTGGATGATAAAAGTCTCTCTTGGCCCTAGTACTCATTTTTATGACCTTCTCTGAAAAGACATAATGCAAATTAAAACACTTTATATTTTATTATGAAATGCCATGTTTTTCATGACCCTCCACAAATATAAGACTTAGTATAATTATTATAAACCTCCGTCCCTTGACAGACGACACAAATGGTCTTCACATATGGTACCCATGTCGGGAATCGAACCCGGGTCTTCGGCGTGACGTGCGAACGCTTTAACCACAAGGCTACCCGACCGCCCCAACAAATAAGTATATCAAGTGGCAGTTCGAAGCAGAAGGGGCGGTGGGGTAGTGGTTAAAGCGTTCGCTCGTCTCGCATTTCTGGTGTCCCCCGTCGTGATCTTGCTGGAATGTTGCTAAAAGCTGCGTAAAACCATCCTCAATCACGTCAAAGAAGCAGAAGTGTGGCTGAAGACAGGGCTGACTTATTTATTTCAGCAATCCTTATTAAAAAAATACCAAGCAGATTCTTGATAAAGGTCCCAGCATCTGTATTTATATTACCATATCAGGACGGCAGATACGAACAATGGGTTTAAACTAGGACTGAATATATGCATGAAAAATCTTTGTCACAGCTTGTAACCTAAAATGATACATCCACGAAGCTCCATATTTTTAATATAGATCGCGATTTCCTGCTTAAAACGTTCAGAATAACACGATTTAACCAAAATATTTCGTAAAAATCTTAAATTCATCGTACACGAGGATTTGTAATTTGATTGCCTGCCTCAAGTCACGTGCTCAAATTTGACCAATCATTAACCTTGTAGCAGATTTCGGCAAGAAAGCGTCGTTAGAAACAATTTGTTATCCAATGAAATCTGATGTTATAGCAACGAAAAGACTCCAGGCAATGTTACGAGCGTGTAGATGAACAAACAAGCTTTCTTCGACGAACGTGTTATTCATACGAAGCTTTCGAAAACGGAGGTATCTCTTCATGTTACTGAGCGGACAGCCGCTGTTATCCGGAAATGGGTGATAACAGATACTATTCATAATTCTTTTTTAAATAATTTTTCAATAACGTAAATAATGAAAATAAAAAAAGAAATGATAAGTAGATCTTTTGAAATCTTATATTTGCCCCAAATCGTCAAATTTTCGTTTTTTTGGTCCTTAATTTGGACGTTATGAATGTGTTAGCTCACATTTTTATAATTTACAACGAACGTAATTAAGTTGTCAATGCATTATTTAAATAATGTGATAAACACAACTTTCATATTTATAAACACTAGGATAAGACCTTTCAAATGTTGTATAACATGGCTGTTGCTATAATTGTTTTTAATTGTTTTTTGCCTTAATACATGAAAATGGCAAATCATTAGTTACTGGACACTGGTACATTTAGTATTTACTCCTACCATCTAGTCACAACTCACAAATATGTAGGACTGTTACTTTTGTGTTTGCTAGCCATTACATGGAAATGGCAGATGATTTATTAAGTTAAATTACTCATTACAGTGTATATTTTATGACTCATGAACATTCATTCACTTTCATTTAATTTTTCATTTTAATAAACAAAGTTATATTCATTTATCTCTTGTCTTCTCTTGTCACAATATGTATCGTAGCGTATCGAGATACGTATCGATTCGTGATGTAAGTATCGAGATACGTATCGTGTCGTGACTTAGGTGTATCGTTGCAGCCCTAAACTGTATACATTGGATACACTGAGCCCATGGTGATGCAGGGGAAGATTAGAGTGTGACTTGAGCTCAGTTGTCTCCTCAACGTCCAAATCCTATCCAGCTATGCGGAAGGTTACCTTCAAGAAGGAATGGGTATCAACCGAGACGAAGTCACTGTCAGCCAGTATATCGATTATCGAATTACAGACAATGCCTGGTGTAAACGTGTCGTGAAGTTTCTATTCCACTGTGGTGAACAGGCAATATGCTACAGTAGCGCCAAAAAAACGTTTGAATAAATAAAAGGTTATCGACGTGAATACCCCATATATGTCCATATATCACAGGTAGCAAGGAATTAGCCGACTGTTGTCTGACATGAGCGCTGCCAATGTGGTTAACATGAAAAATACACAACCTTGTCAATTAATTGATTCAATTTTGTCTTTTCAGAGGTCCTACAAATCCTTCCCGTTGTATGTAAGTATAAGGATCGATCTGATTGGATCATTATAATCTTACATATTAATATGAATTTAATAAACAGAAACTACAATTTATGATTCAATGCGGTTTAAAATATCATTTTGAATATTACAAATATCCGCACTATACAGATAGTCTTACAGCTGATTCATATATTTCATTTGATGAAGAATATATATACATGATTATCAATATTTAGGACCTTTCTTAGCACAACCCACAGATCAAGAAAACAAGCAGATTTGCATATCATGCACATGCATGTAAACCGAGAACCCCTAGATGTGTGCTGTAAAGATACTGAGATAAACACATACTGTCGGGTTGTTCCTGTTGTTACGCAGTGGATTAAAGGAAAAGTGGATTGGAGAATAACTGTTAAACTTTGCAGTTGCATTACATGCACGTTTAGAGTGAGTGAGAATGGTTTTACGCCGCTTTCAGCAATATTCCAGCAATATCACACTTGTACCCATGTCGGGAATCGAAACCGGATCTCCGGCGTGTTGAGCGAACGCTTTAACCACTAGGCTACCCGACCGACCCACATGTTTAGAGAGGAGACTGGCATACACATGTGCACATGTAACGGTGTACTCATGCTCCAGTTGCAGTCTCATTATATTGGTTAACTGTGATCTATAAAGATTTCGACAAAGGGCGCATGTTAATTAATTTCTTCAGCCTGAAAACAAACAGACAAAAAGAACAAGGGAGCTCATCGGATGTCGTCATTTGGAAATATCCCAGACGGTTATAGTTTAATAATAAAAACAAGTATCCATGCTGTGAAAGCATGTTCGAATTTCGGATTGCGTCGATAATACGATTACTACTCCCTTGTTGTCATCCACGTTTTCTGGTATAACCCTACACTTGTGTATTTGTCATCATTCACTTGATGCTCAGTTAATGAATTTATTACTGGTACAATTAGTGGTAGCACCACTTAGATTACCTGACAAAGGTTCCCATTTGGCATTTATTGTGTCTGGGGTAATTATCCAATCTAAATGCAGGTTTGAAGTGAGGTGAAATGGGTTTTATGTAATATACACGTGGCAGCCCAGCAAGAGGTAAATGATCAGTTGATTTGCTTTTTTTGTAAATCAGCGGATCGTTCCTAGTCATCAAAGGATGATTAATCACTGTTATCTTGCACAGTGGATATGTCAAAAGTGAGTGTTTACATGTCTAGGTTTACTAAAACAAAGGGAATACACTCATATCATGGCGTGAAGTGCCAATGTAAAAACAACATACTTTGTTCAAAGGGTTAACTGATAATACGTTGATTGGTTGCTCATTGTTATCTATCACTCAATGGATTTTTTTATGAACCGTGGACGCTTTGAAAATAATTGTCACGTGGGCTTTCTCAGCCGACCCTTGAGTCTTGACACCTATGTGAAACACCTGAAACAATCTAAGTCATCAGTTGAGAAACGAACACGGGTTATAATATCCCGAAACGATATATATCTTTTAAAATATTTGATTGTTACAGAGACACGTGACATCGATCGCGAATAAGTTTCTTTGTACAGCTGCAGACGAGTGGGATACTGTTCCTTTGTGTGGATATTCACGGATACATTACTCGAATAAGGAAGCTGCCTAAAATTTATATACATAAATTTGGTAGGTTGTAATTATGGTATTTGAATTTTGTTTTGCTTCATTTGCTGTAGCATTGAACTGATTCGTTCTTGTTCCTCTACGTCTTGGTTAGGGAAATTCTTCAATGCGCGATAGACGTTGTTTTCACAGGTCTTTTCCTTTGTCAGCGTGTACATATTACCGCCAATTTGTAAAATGTGATTCTCTCAGGCAATTT